CATACTTTCATGAAGTTGATATAGCATTCCTATATTTCAGAGTTCTGTGGTGGTTTATAGGCGAGAAATTTTCCGTGCAATGGCACTTGTATACTAATGAATCCTAGGTGCAAGATGCAGAAAAGAGAATAGATGTATATATATCGAGCACAGAGTATTAAAGAGGGGGTGTATATATCTCCTTTGAGACACTAGCCTCTTTTATAAGAAGTCTCTCCCTAAAGACTCTCCTGGCACCCAGCACCTTAATGGGGACCTTGAAAAGGGATCTTGAAAAAGGCCGTTTCTGGAAATGCCAGGGTTCTGGTATATCTGCCGTTCTTCACTTTTTGAAGAAGTCTGTGATCCTCTTCTGTTTTGTTTTGCCTTTTCAAATGTGACAAACAAAGTCCTTGCTGTCAGATTAAGTTGAAGATGGCTTCAGTGTGGTAACTCTGTAGTGGGAAGTCATGCACCTTGTCCAAGCACCCCATAACTTCCGCAATGGAGACAGCTTGGCAGGTTTTCATCGACATGATCACTTTCTACCAAGTTTCTGCCAGTTAGCTCCATAGCACCCCTCACTTGTGCATCAACTGCTGTGAATGACTCAAATATTGTGTCTGATGGCACATCTACCCCAGCATCTCGAAGTTGGTCTATGAGGTCCTCACTTGATGTGGCAGTGTTGATGTCATGAGCTGCATCATCTACTCCTCAGCATTTTTTCTAATGCAGTGTTTTTGAAGCCTGCATGTTCAAAGCAAATGGCAATGGTTTTGTCCACCATTTCCTAGTTATCTTAGCATCCAGTACCGTGGGGTTGTACTCCTTCTCAACTGCTGCAACAAGTAATGTGATGACCTGCCAGTGGTGGTGCATTTTTCAGTTCTGTATGACACTCTGATCTATTGGCTGGAGTTTGGCTATTGTGTTGGGGGAAAGGAAAACCAGCTTCATGTTCTTCAAGCCAGTAATGCGGAGGTGGGCTGAACAGTTGTTGACAGTAATTGCAGTAAATTATATTAATGCCCTTACCCAATGTATATTAATAAGCACTGTATGCTCAGTGCTTGTCGGAGAGCTCGCGAAAAAACCTCACAAGCTTACTCGGGTGGGACTCCAACCCACGACCTCCTGCTAACTAGTGCAGATGTAATAACCACTCGACCACCGAGCTTGCCGGGGTCGGCTGGCCGGTCCGAGTCAAATGAAGCAGCGGGTACCGCGGACTATTTTTTTAAGATGCATTTTTGCGTTGGGGAGATGTTAATTATATATAACGGGTTTGCCCTTACCCAACGTATATTAATAAGCACTGTATGCTCAGTGCTTGTCGGAGAGCTCGCGAAAAAACCTCACAAGCTTACTCGGGTGGGACTCCAACCCACGACCTCCTGCTAACTAGTGCAGATGTAATAACCACTCGACCACCGAGCTTGCCGGGGTCGGCTGGCCGATCCGAGTCAAATGAAGCAGCGGGTACCGCGAACTATTTTTTAAGATGTATTTTTGCGTTGGGGAGATGTTAATTATATATAACGGGTTTGCCCGTACCCAACGTATATTAATAAGCGCAAAAGTTTTTATTTGATTCAACAATAGAATACATTTCACGTTGATTTATTAAGCTTATAATATTTTATTTTGAGAAAAATCAGGGTGAAAACATTGACGTCTATGAAGAAAAATTAAGGGTAACCAAAAACATCTCTTTCTGCCCCTACACTTTGGCCGGCAGAAAAATACTTACAACTGAGTAAGAAACTTACTATTGAATAGATCTATCCTCTTATCATGAAAACTTTTTCGAAATACTGTGAAACAGTCAAATGCACATGAAAAGTAGACAAATCGCGAGCTTGGTAAATTCACAAAACAGGGCTTTTGGAATGCATGTGGATTGCATCAGAGCATCTACATGATTGGCTAAGCAAAGCTACAGCCCCACACAGTAACCAATTGGTGACTACGATAGGCACTCGGAACGCCACACAGTGATATCCGATACCCTGACATTGTAGCACTTTTGACACCTATGTTGAGCAGCCCTTTACTGGTACCCGACTAGTAGACTGGTTAAGCCATCCTCATTGTTTTAGCATTTCTGAGCTACATTTGGTATTTTGAAATTCACAAGAAAAATATATACCTGAGTAAAAGTGCTTTTGCCAGAACACGCCCCTCAACCCAACATTCAGTACAACTGTGCTTAGCTTTGTACATGTTCATGAATTGTTACCCATTGTTACGTGTAATATTTGTCCCATTCCTTGAAATCTTACCAGAAGAGACTACACCGTATGATTTTGTTATGCTTTTTTTTCATTAGTCTTGCACTCCTAGTTCAATTGCACACTTAACAAAAATTAACCTGGCAGAAACAAAAATTTATTACACTATCCAAAAACATTTTATTGCCTCTCTAGCTATATTCATCAACTTTTATGAGAAATGAGAATAGCCATGCATATGTATACATATGGTCAAAAATACCATAGCTGCATATGACAATTCGATTCTGAAACATACTTCACCCTGTACTTAAGAATAATGACATACAGCCATTGTACTAAAATACTGTATTTTAAGGCACAAATGTTACAACTTGGCATTGCTGTAGATCTTCATATTAACTAATAAACAAATAAGTAAATAAATCACAAAATCGATGTGCATGTGAAAGATTGTATTGATGTGCATGTGAAAGGTGTATTGCAACTCACCAAAAGTTGTAAAACAGGGTAAAAGTAGCTGCTCTCATTTTTTAAAAGGTGGTACTACGTGAACTTTTTACATGAATAAAGATACAAATGGTTCCCTGTCAACTCTGAATGGCAAGTTTAAATTGATATTCATGCAGCTTGGTTGAGTTGAATCACAACAAAGTCTGAAAATGTATTCATGTACAGTATTCGTATTCAGGTGAATAGCTGGCTAGTGTACACATAGATGTTTGGGGGCTGCTTGTTGACCTCGCTCACTCAGTCTTGTTGCTGCTGTACCTCTGGGTTACTGGCACTTTCGCTCCTTTTTTTTTTTTTTTCTCACAAGGATTTTCAGCTCCTGTGGCACAAACGGCTTGACTCATGGAGACACTGCACCAGGAATCTGTCTCACCAGTAGCGAGGTGACAACGTCTTTGATGGCCTCTGCAAACTTTGGGTTGTCAAGATAGTTAAGATGAAGGCCATCATAGGCAAAGAGGTTGTATGATGAAAACTTTTCTGTGAAATCAGCATATTTCACAGAGAGCTTTTTGCACAGCTGTGCAAAATGGGTGTTGACATACTCGCCTTTGAAGTGGAGTTCATCGCTGTCTTGCCTGAGTAGGATGGCACTAACCACTACTTGTGCACCGGGAAACTTCTCCCTTGCAAGATGTATTGTGTGTTCATAGTTCTTTAGCAGCAGTCAACAAAACTATCATACAAGTCATTAATTCCCACATGCAGAAAAACAACACGAGGCTGCTCCGATGCAGGAATGTGATTACTACTTTCCAAGCCTCTTAAGAAATTTATCATTCGGAGAAGGGTGCACCCTGGCTTGGTTGTAACTTCAGAGTGAAGCCATTCACTCTGAAGATATTCTGGAAGATATTTAATAGTGAGTCGCCAATAACTCTAAGTCTGAAATCTGGAAGATGATCTTGACTTTTGGGCCTGTGGTGCAATTAGCCGGAAGACAGAGAAAAAGAACAAAAAGAAAGACACAAAGTTAGAAAATGGATATGCAGGGCTTTTTTAAGGAAAGAGTTCCAAATACAAAGTTCACTTGACACCCCGTGTACAAACGTTATGGCATTGGTCTGAGAAATTTGAAGTGTCCTTTATAAAAATGCCTGTATTTTCTCACTGATGAAATTGATTTTTAGGACATGTAATGCTTTCTGGGGCTTGAAAAATCATTAAGGGAACAAATAAGTGAACTTCGTATATGGAAATCTTTCCAGTCCCATTTTATTACGATATTCTCTTTATCACAAAATGGGTTCTACATGCAGTATGTACAACAACGTACTTGCAAAACACACCTGGTCATCAACGTATGACGTCATACATGCAATCACTGCTACAGCTAAACCTGAGAAAAGTCACAATTCTCACAGCTAAAAAACCTTTTTGTTGGTCCCCAGCAGATCCCAAAGCTGTAGGTTATCATACATTAACTTGTACAGAACATAAACATCCACACTTTTTGAGTGAAAATTGTGTAAAAGAGTCAGGTGCATTTAAAATACGAAGGTATTCATCATAAACTTTGCACATTTACGCACTTTTTGAGAGGTATTTTCAATCTCGAAATGATCAAAACAGGGAAGGAAATCGCTACATTTTACGTTCAATATCGTCAAGATTGTACTCACCAAGCCATGTTGACCCACAGGTGACAGTACCGGTTTCACATGCGTTCTTCCAGAGGCTTGCCCCAAATCTTGTATTTTCTCACATTATTCGAAAGCGCATGAGAGTGGTCTTTGCTGCAAATAAACTCACCTCTATCGCTTCATTAGCACCTGAGCTGCGCGCTGAATGATGCTCCCATGTTTTAAAGCTAGTCACTGCACAGTTAAGCAGACAGAGTGAACAAGCAGGCGACCATTCGTACTAGCAGAACTCCTTTCTGGCATTTTTAGTATTGTCATGGCTTCTTAACAGCAAGGGACTGTTAAGGCAATAGAAGTTGTGCATGGCATCCATCTTTCTGGTTATGGAGGGATATAGCACAAAAGGTCTATTCATGTGTATTCCTGTGTTACAAAAGCCCTTACTGGAGAAATGGCTGGCGTGCACAACCTCTATTAGATGACATGCTGGGTACAATGCATATACATGTATACTAAATGAAAATCAAAATCCTCCAGCAGAGGACAACAGTTGTGCAATGTATGTGATTTTGTTCGATGCATGCATCATCTAAACACAGATTTACTAGTTCTGTGGTCATGGGCTATGATCCACTGATTCACATTGCTACAACACACATCAATGACACATTTTGTTGCGTATAGTACATACCTGGCAGTAACAGTGGGAAACAGGGAGAAATTGCCAGAGAAAGTGAAGAAGATGAAACATATCCAGATGAAGAACATCACTTCACCTCCTTGCGGTGTTGCTATGAAGCTCAGCATCAGTGCCGACATACAACAACACAGTGATGTCATGGCAACCTGCATTAACCAATGATTTCATAACCAAGAATAAAGACTAGAACGGCAAAGCGCCATGGCTCGCTGTTTGTTATGAATTTGAATTTCTTTCTTGTAAAAACAGGAAAGAGACATCCAAGTTATACAAATATGGTTATTAAATCAAACAAGTAACTACTAACAAAGCTTTATCAAATTTTTTACAAGATTGGTTGACAAACGACCGCAATGCAGATGTACAAGCTTTTTATCAACCTTAGCAACACAGTTCACTGTACTCTTGGAGAAAAAAACCTAGTCAGTGCTGTGTGCAGACTGTGTGTTGAAAGGTGCCTGTCATTTTAAAGTAAATCATAAAGACCACCTCCAAGGGAGATACAGGTACAAAGGCTTCACAGTTCTTTACAGGAGAGAGGAATGCCTATAGAATGTGGGTCCAGCTAGTACAGTCAGACTAGACATGGATGATTATATAAGCAGTGCATTTGTGAGTTTGATGGAGGGTGCATAATTAAAATTCCTCTTAAGTACATGTACAGTTCTGCACTTCGTATCCAACCCCATCATCCTATCCATCTCCTACTCCACCTCTCCCCATCATCCTATCCAT